TAAACTAAATGCTGTACTTCTACATCCATTGAAGTTCCCCAGATTGCCCACAAATCAAGAGAAGCTCATCTCTGATGGCCTTGTGGGAGAAGATGTAGTTCTAACTATATGAATTAATTGGTTTGATAGATAACTCTCATAGGCTACAGATTGGATTTCCACATAGCCTAGCATGTTCTTTTGTTCACAAAGTATGTAGTATCTGAATACCAATAAGAAACAATGTGAATATTGGAAAATAATGCACTAGTGTGAGTATGAGAGTAGAGATGTTGGGCTTGGACTGTCTATATCCAATACACATATTTTTAATTTATTTATTTTTTTAATTTATCTGTGTGGCTCATTTGCCTAGTATCTTTCACTTATCCTTTGTCTTTATGGTTTTATTTCTAGAGGAGTTATGAACCACTGATGCTATGAAAGGAAAGTTATTCAGACTTTTCCCACAGTCATCTGCCTTTATCCCTGCTGGATTTCCTGCACTTTCACCAGGCTCCTTAAACAAACCACTATTCTTATGAATTTCAATTTTTTTTTTGGTAATCACCTGACCCCAAAGATGGCCCTCTGGCTCCCCTTCTCCCTCCATCAAGTGCACTTTGAAAGACTTGGGGTAAAATTGTGGTAGCTGAAAACACTTCAAGACTTTCTGGTTTCGCTTTGGTGTCTCTTTCTACCTCATTTTATAGCATCATTTTTTTATGAATAATTTTCTTCATCCAGCTAGGTAACCTGCACACAACCAGATCATCAGTTTATTCTAAGCTTTTTATCTGCAGAGCGACATGATAAGAGACAGGACCACATTTACTTCTTGCTCTGCCACCACAAATTTCTTGTCATGCCTTGAATGAGTATTGTTGGCAAATGAATGTTTCCATCCAGCAAAAAGCTTTCACCAACGTTACTGGAGAATCTTCACAATTGTCTTCTCTGTCTTTGAAAAGTCATTAACTTTCTTGATTGCTTTCAAATAATTCATAACAACTGTTTGAAGGATGTTCACCCATCAGCTCTTGAAATGAAATCTGGTGTTCCTTGAGGTGGAAAATGTATGGCATGCCTAATTTTAAGTCATTTCCCCATGAAAACCAGGTCTTTCTAGACTGTTCAGGAGAGTATCAGTTTAGTGCTGACTAATTGCACAAATAAGGCAGGAGGATACTGTTGTACCAACCGCGAGAAAATCAGATCTAAATTAGATAAATGGCAAAACATTTATCTGCATTTGTTATAAGGGAGAGAAGAGAACTAATACTCAGCTATAATCTACAGCATAAAATATGTCCAACATTGCCAAATAATTTATATGCTTAACATCTTGTGGGTAAATCTTTATCAAATTGCATGAAAATCCCTGTTGGTTCATGTTGTTTTTTTAATTAGGCACAGTTACAACTTTGTTGATGTCATTTCAGTCTTTGAAAACATTTTTCCCTTACCTGTCATGGTGGAATGGGAGCTGAGGCAGAACCTCCAGTTTGTAATGTTTGCACAATCTGTGAATGAGAGCCCAGATGGTGTGCTCCAGCCCGGAGAACTGGAGCACTGATCTCTGTGCAAAACTAGTCATCTTCTGTAATTAAGTTACACGTTCACAGTGTGATGGCATGTTGAGTTACTTTCACTTCATTAGATGTGACATTGTATTGTTTGAAGAATGTGAAGAATTGAAAATCAGTGGACTCTGTGATGATCTTTAGAAACCCAAATTTTCATGTTCTTACTATTTGTTTATTTGCTGTTCTGATGCAGCTAAAACTAATGGGAGTGTTGAATCTCACAGCTAGCCCAGATGTGCCAAAAAGGCAGTATTAAATGAAATAGATACAATAAAGAAAAAAAATAACTGTTAACTAGCAAAATTCTTGGGATAAAACCATGACCTGAAAGTACAGAGACCTCTACAAAATATATTCCTGCAGAGGCTCCCTTGGGATATGAAGGAGAACATGCTTGATTAAGCTGGTACTAACCTTTCACAATCACGCTTCTCTGATATTTATTCCTTGAAATAATAAAAAGGGACGTCAGCTATGGGAAAGCCATAGTGTACTCCATTGCTTGCTGCTGTTCTTTTCTAACTTGAGCATTCTTCTCATAGAGCAAACATAAAGAATGAATGGAGGGCTTACTTTATTTTTTGTTGACCTTTATCTTGTAGTGGCTGTCCATTTGCACAGTTAAATGACATGGTAAGAAATTTTCCATCCTTTTTTAGCTCTGTCAGAGGGCCTCCATCTTCTCAGTAACCAGTGGTAGAACACAAAATCTTTACAGGTATACAAAGGCAGATCTGGAGAAAATAAAATCCATCCTTGTCTGTAGAGCCTCTGCTCTGCTGAATGTTTCGCTACATGTTAAAGAAGTGAAAGATCCTAAGGAAGGAAATCTTTTCTTCTCTTTGTAATAATTTTTAAATTCCACAGTTTCATCTTGCTCTGCTTCTCCTAAAAGTACATAGTTTTGTTTAATTTCCCCCCAGATTGCTCCCATGGTGATAATGGAGGAGTTTTCTCCCTAGGCACCTCTGTGATGTTTGTATTGGGAATTGCATGTTCTATACTCTCTTAATGAACAGAGGCAGGAATTTAATAACATAAGAGTTTAAAAGTGCGTGGGGTTTCTTGGAAGGGAAGCTTTTATTTTCAGCTCCCTTCAGTGTTTGCATTTACTGAAAATTTTGCAAGGGTTCATATGGAATGCATAGATGTGAAATCTGGTTATCAATCACAGCTAAACACAACTCATTTTTCATTACATTGGGATCATTGCATCATTTCAAACAGTCCAGGAAAAATAGTACCAAGGTAGCGCACTGGGAGATACATTTTTCACCTGCATTTGATACTGGTAAAAATAATTTCCTTCTCTATATTTTAGATGTGATATTATTTGATTCAGCTTAAACTCGTGACTGATCGCCTGTTTTCAGTTTTTTCAGTCTCCATAAACATGCCAAATAGATACGATAAGTCATTAAACAGGAAACAGCTTCTTCTGTATATTTAGACTTATTACCATATGCCTTAAAAGTAATATCAAATAGAATATCTGAGTTACAGAGCCATAAAATAAGAGAACAACCATTATTTTTCTGGATCTCTTTGAAGGATACAAAAAGAGAATGAAGCAATTGACATACCTTTAAAGTCCTACCTGTAGTCTCTGTAATAAAAATATTTCTAACTGAATATAATCATTCTGTAGATTGCTTTTTAAATTGCATTCCATGTTATTTCTTGCTTCTTGTCCTAATATTGCTAAACATAAATTTGAAAAATCCCTCAAGTGGAAAATTGATTTTTGTCTTATGTTGACCCCTATTTTGTTCTGATTTAGCATTGTATTTTCATATAGCAAAGTAGTGTGGTATTTTAGATAAGTGGTTTTTTTTAACTAACCAACAATTGCTGCTCCTTCAGGAGCACGCAGTCACAGTCTGTTGACAGGGCTAACCTCTGCTGTGACAGCAGCTGTGAATCTGTCCTGTTCATCTCATGGAAAAGGTAGAGCAAGGAAACATAAGATATTGTAATAACAGCTGAGGGTGTGCTTTTGAGAGAAATATTCACGTGGTTGGAATTAGGGAAGTGAAATATGCAATTCTTATGATGGTGACGGAGTTATAGACATGGATTGTGTTAATTAAAATCAGTGTAGCGTAATATATTCATCAGTGAAATAACACAACTAAAGAGAACTGTTCTAAACTAGAGTCTGTTCTATGCATAGGCATAGGAATGTTGAAGTGCTGACCTGTAGTGACAATTTTACATCATATGCAATATTCAAAAATGATGTTAAGTGAAAAGCATTTGGAAGATTACTTATTTCTTGTGTGGTACACGCTGGGAGGTGTTTGGCTGTGAAATGTACATTCATGTGCAAGAGAAGGAAACATGAAGTTTTCATTTGGTCTTTTCTTTCTTTTTTATTGTTTCTTTGTTTGAATCCACCTAATTTGGGGCAGGAAAATCAAGTCACTTGGAATAAAGAATTATTTAATCTTTTCCACAACTACTTCTAACTAAATTTGTTCTAACTTTTCCTGACTTCAGAATTGTTTTCACCATATAATTTCAATCTTTTCATCATTTTGATCACAGTTTGATGTTAGTTGCTTGATCTTTCACTAACATTCACATTCACAATTATATGAAAAAGATTCATGCAATATGGGTGTGAACTTTACCAAAATGTTTGGTCAAAACTCCTTTTGTAAACTACTTTGCTAGCAAAGAGTTTGTGAAAGGAAAAGCTCCATTTTTAGTATTTCACTTGTTTTGTCTGACTCCTAGGAGTCATTGTTTGAATTTAATTCCATTTCAGCCTTTTAATGTGGATGCTGGCAGCTTGCTGGTTTTCTCTGGAGTGACATCCTGTTAATTCTTCATCGGGCATCAATGGACCTTGTGACTTGAGTGGACCATGAACATTAGTGAGCTTATGAGCAGTAGTGAACTCAGTACATAGGGATAATGAATGTAGTTCTGTGGAGTTTTATCAAATTCAACCAAGTTGGGTGAGCGCATGGAGATAAAGCACCTCTCAGTGGGTTTAGAAGTAACAGAGCTGCTTCATTTCTGTACAGCATGTGTATTGGAATTTAGTTCCACTGTGACTAAAACTTGCTATGAATTTTTTGGGTCAAAGTCTGATGAATCTAAAGCTGAAGATGAGAAGTTTAACACATATAATGGCTACCTCTGAGGAGCCTATGCTTCCTCAGTAAGTATTGAATTCGTTGTCTTCATGTGACAAACCTATTAGAAATATCTTCCATGAATTGTCACTCTTTGGTAAGTATTTTAATTAGCTGTGGAACTCACAATCAGCCTTACTTATTAATGATCTGAATGTGGTAGAGCACAGTAAGTTCTTTAAACTCAACAGAAGTTTGGTCGCTGTGGTAGAGTTAAGAATTAGAAGTAGAGATGCACTTCTTTTTAGGTTTGTCCAGAAGTTGTAATCTTTCAATGTATTTTGTATTCTAGGATGTGATGTCAACATTCTTCCAATTTGGGGCTTCTATCCAGCAGGAAGCCATCGTCATGCTTAAGATCATGCAGGATTATGACTGGCACGTGTTTTCTCTGGTAACCACCACCTTTCCTGGATATCGAGACTTCATCAATGTCATTAAGACCACAGTGGAAAATAGTTTTGTTGGATGGGACATGCAGAACATCATCATTCTTGATACTGCCTTTGGAGATGCCAAGACACAAATTCAGCTGAAGAAAATTCATTCATCTGTCATCCTTCTCTATTGTTCCAAGGATGAAGCTGTCTACATACTAGATGAGGCTCGCTCACTGGGCCTTACCGGGTATGATTTCTTTTGGATAGTTCCAAGCCTGGTTAGTGGTAACACAGAAATTACTCCCAAGGAATTTCCTTCGGGACTCATTTCAGCATCTTATGATGAATGGGACTACAGTTTAGAAGCTCGAGTGCGGGATGGCCTTGGGATTATTGCCACTGCTGCATCAGCCATGCTGGAAAAGTACTCCTTCATTCCTGAAGCAAAAACTAGCTGCTATGGTCAACTGGAGAAAAACGACCGGCCATCTCACACTTTGCACCAGTAAGGTTTATTGTCTTCTTTTTTTTTTTTTCTTTTCTACATAACCTTGGTAATGTTCCATTATAGTAGTATTATATGTCTCTTGAAGGAGAAAAAATAGTTTTTGATAATGCCATCACACCCCTTTTGAATAATGAATTTCAGATGTTCCAAGGGAATGTGCAGTAAGAACTGCTACACTGCTAACTGTACACGTGGAAATGATATGTGCTGTTGAGAATAGGCACTGAGTCTGATGTCAAAGGCAGTAGAAATTGATTTTAGGTGGTATGAAATGAAGTTAATAAAATAGTGCCATTAGGTACCTGAACTGTGAGGCACATTACCAAAATCTATTGAAGGCATTGCCTTTGTTACCAGGACTCTCATTTGCATCAGCAGGAAGATGCTAATGTTTCAGAAGAAAAGAGATGTGTAAGGTTAAGTAGGTGATCCTGGATATTGTAGAAGTATTAGATTAGTTATCCAGCTTTTACTACCTAATAACTGAAATCTCTCATTTCTCCTTGTGAGCATTTCATTTTTGTCACTTCCTCTAGAATAACTGTAAAACTTCATCTGCATAGTTCAAGTTGGTATGGATGTTTTCTCAGAGGAGTTTGTCATATGGGAACTGGTAAGGTTTAAATCAGGATTCTTTGTTATTTATTTATTAATTTTGTCCTTTTATTTATCCCCTTTGGATGTGGTACTCTTCATTACTTGTATCCCAAATGTTGCATAATATTTGCCACACAGAAACAATTTTTTTTCAGCTGATTTTTGAGAGGAAGTAAAAGGAATCTTGCATATTTTTATAGCTCTTCACAATCTCTCCTAGGGATATTACTAAGCAGCATTTATGAAATTTGTTTTGACTGAATATTGCAGATGCAGCTCTTTATAGGAAAGGAGGTTGGAATTGCCAGAAAAAGAAAAATCAGTGACAGCTTCATATGGGAGTTTATGGGATGTTTTTAATCTTCTGAGATGTATGTGTATATTTAGTTTGGGAGTTGATTGCTGTATGGTGTCCAGGAGTGGTTAGTTTTTTTCTTAGAAAATGACATCTTTAATATACAACATGCTTCAGAAACTTCCCTTGTAGGCCAAATAGTGCTGAGTAAATGGATTTTATCACTTCATACATATAGTGCATAAACAGTAGGGCCAAACTTAGGAAATGGGTACAGCCCTCTTTAGGTATAACTCCCACTAGGTAGGTGGAAGTCATAATTTAAGTATGACATAGCCTCTTTAGGTATGACACTTCCACTTTTTTTTTCTGTGTCGCAGCTTACTTATCTCTAAGCCTCTGCTTCTAAAACTGTCCAAATTCACTGAAGGGATTGCAGAAAATCTGCAACTCTTTCTTTGCTACCACTTGTTCCCCAGGAGAATGCCAGTAAGCAGTTTTGTGTTGGCTCGCCATTCTGGCATGGCTCCTGTATAGAACTGTAGCTGGACACCCATGGCAGGAGGCACTGCTGGGAGGACTGTCCTACCCATGCCATGTATGCAACCCTCAAATCATGCACTGGCTGAAATAGATAAAATTTAAAGCAAATGGTATCCCCTTAACTGTGTTCTGTGCTTTAACAATGTGATCTGTGCAAAGAAAGAAGCCCACTGTTTTAAGTTCTTTTCTGCACAAAAAAATGAAGTGGCATTCTGTGTGTTGGTGTTTAAAATACAGTGGCTCAGTTGGACAGGCCATAAGAACTTGAACTCCACAGGTCTGGCAATTCACAGCTGTGGAATGGATTTAGGCATTCAGCATTCAGTGCAAGTTGTCCTTCTTCAAGGTATCATTCTTTTTCTGATGAAAAATTTATGACTGTGTGAATAGGGCTTGTGACTGATTGGGCAGTGAGATTAGACTTCACCAGGAGATTTTGCAGTGTGCATTGAACGATGCACATTCAGTGGTGTTTTAACACAGTGCATTTTGTTTAGTAAAGTCTTTTTATGCTGCAGAACACTGAGTTGTAAAGTGAAAATGTGTTTTCTGTACAGATGACGCTTTGACCTTTTCCAACACCACAGCAACAGGAAACAGGTTGTTTTTAATTTATAAATACTAGTATTACAGTAAAATAAATAAAGTTTTAATAGTCCTCCTTATGTAATAACTCCCTCCTTATGTAAGAATTGTTTTTGTCACATACAATTGATAAGAAAAGTAAGTTTACAGAATCATTTAGCACTGCAAAGTATTCTCCAGGAGCTCACTAGTCATGCCAAGGTGAATTACACAAATTCTCTGTACCTTATATTTCTCATCTCTAAATGTTAAGTTTTTTTTCCTAGCTGAAAGGAATCCCCTAAATTGGGATTTTATTCTGAAACGTAACCTTCATAGTTTCAGGCCACAAATAGTGCAGTTTTGTATTTTCTACTAAAAGATAAGTGCGTAAAACACTGTACTAAGGAACAAACGTGAACAAAGGATTTTGGAATACACTACAATGGTAAAGAGCTGAAATACTGTAAACAGCTGATGGACCTGGGGCCTGCTGTATTGAGTTGCTGTTTGTGCTGGGCTTTGTTGGTATAGAAATGGGGCTGCACAAAGGGGCACCACTTCCCAGCTCAGGGAAAGACCAGTCAGTAGAGAGCAGAAAAGTGACTCTATAAGGTGTTGCCTAAGCAAAACCAAGCTCAAGAGGAGAGCAGAAAATAGGATTTTAAATTCCATCTGTTATAATGACAGTCTAATTCAGCTTTAAACCCAGTATTGTATTCTAGGGCGATGCCATAATAGCTAATTTGCGTGTAAATGGAGATAGGTAATGCTTTATGTGCTGCTTCCCACATCTAGTGAGGTTCATCTCCGCTTATAAAGAAATTCTTCGTAAAGAAAGCTATGAAGTGAAAGCTCCTCCTCCCTCTTTTTCAAATCCTTTGTGTATTAAATTGGCTTGAAGATATATATGTTTTGAAGCACACAAACATGACACCTTTCCCTGTCATGGCAATTCTAAAATGCTTATATTAGCTTTCTAGATCCAGAAAAAATCTGGTTTGCTTCAGTTTTTGGAACGGTCTGATCATTGTTCATTTCTGATACACATGCAAAAATCAGTGTTTCTTTATGAGTAAAGGATTTAAAATAAAATAGGGAATTTTTTTCTACACACTTAAAATGTTTCTATGTATTCAGGTCTTTTGTCATTCTTGTAAGACCTACAATCTTCCAATACAGAAAAATACTGTTGTGCAAAATACTGGCAGCAGCACTGCAGGATATCTAGAATTAGCAGTTCATTACAGCAGTGTCAGTTGAACAAATGCTCGCTCTCTTACAAAAAAGGAAACATCTAAACAAACAGCAAAACAAAATAACCCTATTAGTTGTCATGGAAAATTCTACTGCTGTATGAATAAAATTACTTCTGCATGGCTTAGTAGAGTACTTGTGTTTAAAAGTCATAACCATGTTGGGTTATGGTGGGCTATGTCTGAAAAAAAACTTGATATGCCTGTCCAGCAGTCAGTTGTTGATGCTGTGTTTAGTTACATCCAGTTTCCAAATACAACCAAAAATATGCAGGATTTTGGAGGCTCATTTACTTTTTGTAGGGAAGTTGTAGGGCTAAAAATCTGCTCTGGGCAGGCTTTGGTTTCGTGCTCTGCCCACACATTGTTTCCATTATTCATTGTCGCTTTAGCCAGAGAGCAGCAGCAGTCCGAAGTCCAAAGAGGTTTAGATGATGGCCTATGATAACATTTCATTTTCTTATCCATGCTGTTGTGCTGCTGTTGCAAGTTGCCTATGAAACGTCTGCTCCAGATGATGAGAATGTGCTGTCCCTGAAGTCCTGGTGTTCATTTATCAAGTTCAATATTTCGATGCCAGCTTTTAGCAGTGACAGATGCATTTTCCTCTTTTTCTTTCAAGTGAAATCAAGTATTACTTGGACACAATGGTTTGATGGATAATCCAGCATATCTGTTTAATGCTTTCCAATTTTCGGAGATTTGTTCATTTCATTAAGTTCTGTCAAAAGACTTGGGGGGGGGGTGGGAGGGAGGGAAAGTATCATCTGCCTTATAGTCTGTTCGAAGATGTGTTGTTATTTAATTATATAGGGAGCAAAATGCTTTTTTACTAGTAGAGATGCTCTGCAGAAAAACTAAGTGTAATTTCATAGAATCAGAGACTGTTTTGGGTTGGAAGGGACCTTAAATTATAGAATCATAGAATCACAGAATAGCTTGGGCTGGAAAGACCTCAATGATCGTCCAGTTCCAATCCCTCTGTCATGGGCAGGGTTGCCAACCACTAGATCAGGCTGTCCAGGAACTCATCCAGCCTAGCCTTGAACGGCTTAAGGGATGGGCATCCACAGCTTCTCTGGGCAGCCTGTGCCAGTGCCTTACCACTCTGAATGAAGAATTTTTTCCTAATATCTAACCTAAACCTCCCCTTTTTCAGTTTAAATCCAGGGATCAAATGCATCCTTAGCAAGTTTGCTGACATACCACAAGGCTGTGCTGCAATTCAGTGAGACCTGGACAGATCAGGGAGTTGAGCAGAGATGAAGGAACATCATGCAGTTCAATATGCACGCGTACAGTCCTACACCTGGGGAGGAATAACTGCATGCATCAGCACAGGTTAGGGGTTGGTTGACGTGGTGATGAGGAGCTCTGCAGAGAAGGACCTGAGTGTTCTGGACAGCAGGTTGCCCATGAGCCAGCAGTCAGTGTGTGTTCACAGCAGTGCCCTGTGCATAAAGGGATGATCTGAGACTGTCACCCAAGCTTCCATAATCACATAGGCTGCTCACTTGGTTTGTGGGGAGATAGCTAATTTGGGTATACTTTCTGATTAGGACTTTGGTATGCAGGGATATGCTAAATCTAACAGTGCCAGTGAGCATATTTTAAACACTAACGTGTTTTATTTTACTCTTAATTCACGTGCTGTAAGTGCCCTGTTCAATAATTTAAAACTTTTCTGCATGGTTTTGTTCTTTGTAGCTGCATTAAGCAACAGGAACTGAGTTGATGAAACT